AATTTCTCTAGGGGTCAACTTGAAGGCAAAAGTCTACCTTGGAGCCTAGAAATTTTTACCCTTGGTTCTTATAGATCTCCCTGCTTCTATCTTTGATCCTCTACCATCTGTTTTCCACACAGCAGCCAGAGTTTAAAATCCTAGACTCCTTTCTTAAAAGCCACCAATGACTTCTGTTGTATTTTAAATAAAACCTAAACTCCTTCCCATAGCTTTCAGGACACTTCCTCATCTGTCCCTTCCTGATCTCACCTCCCACCACTTCCCAATTATGTTCCCATTTATGCTCCTGCATCTGCTCTTTTTTCTGTCTGGAATGCTTTCCCCAGAATGAACATGGCTCGTTCCTTCTCATTATTCACATTAGCTCAAATTTCACTTCTCCCAAGAGCCTTCCTTTGCTACCCTATCTAAAGGTGCTAACTCCTATCCCACTTTACCCTAGTTATTCTCTAATAATAAAATAATTTTAAAAATATCCATTTTATCTGAAATAATCTTACATTATTTATTGTCTGAATTCTTGTACCAGAATGTAAACTGCATGAGAGTAGGGATTCTTGTGTTTCTTGCTATTTATTTTATTACTCAGAATAGTGTTTGGCAAATTATAAGTGCTCAGAAATGTTTATTAAATGAATGAAACTGGAGGATGAACCTGGGGAACATAATTTCTGTCAGTATTATTCAGGGAGAGGAGAAATGGAACGAGTTTGAATTAAATTGAAAGAAAATTGACAAGGGATACGTTGCTAAAACTACTGGAAGGGAATATTACTCTTTGATTTTTGTCAAGAAAGTAAGGAGCTCAGCTTACTACTGATTTTGTTCTCCTTTTCCCAAAGGTGTCTTTGAGATTTTTCTTGTAACTTCTCTGGTTGGAGGGGGCCTTCTTATTCTCATCCTCCTGACGGTGGCATATGGCATCAAAAAACCCAAGTGGGTTTGGAAACAACAATGTGGGCCCTCAAAATGAGGGGTGGAAAGGGAGTGGAAGGCACCATGGGTGGAAGAGGGTGCTCTGCTATTTAGGCATGTTCATTCAACTTTTTGGGTTTTTTTTACCTAGCTACTGAGTTTATCATGTGCCTTACACTGTGGCACATTAGAATTCTAACTGGAGCAGAGGACCTCCACCCCCACAGCCCCATGCCCCAGGCCTAGGACTTTTTGAAGCCAGGGAGGTGTCAGCTGCTTCACAGGCTTTATCTACTATGTTCTGCAATTGAGCCTAGAGCTGGGGAGAAGATCCTCTTTCTCAGTGTCTAGTGGGGACCACTGGCAGCAGAAAAGGGTCTCCAGGTGGCCAGCTTCTCTTCTAGGCAGAGTAGGAAGCAGGGTACCCATGGAGTTGGAGCTCTGGCCAGCGCATGCCCAGCATAGACTGGTCCTTGCTAATTACACAGTGTTGGAAGGCTGGCTGAAGGCCATTTGTCCTGCCTGCTCTGGCCACTGTAGGGAAGGAAGCCTGTCTTCAGGGTCTTGTCCTTTCTCTCCCCAGGGAGCCTCATTCTACCCTGAGGGTCACGGGCTCCCTCCCTGGTAGACCTCTCTCTCCAGAACTGCACAGTTGTGAGTCTTCTCTGCCAAGCTGCGCTTGTGTGTGCATGCATGCTAAGTCACTTCAGTCGTGTCTGACTCTTTGCAACCCTAGAGACCCTAACTAGGGACCATAGCCTGCCAGACTCCTCTGTCTGTGGAATTCTCCAGGCAAGAATACTGGAGTGGGTTGCCACGCCCACCTCCAGGGGATCTTCCCAGCCCAGGGATTGAACCCATGTCTCTAATGTCTCCTGCATTGGCAGTTTGGGTTCTTTACCACTGACGCCACCTGGGAAGCCCAAGCTGTGCTTAGTTATGGTCAAACTAAGTCAACCTCAGTTCCCGTGGATTGTAACTGAATCTTCAGCACAAATTCTTGTACATTTTGCATATCTAAAAGCTCCCAGGTGGTGACGATGCTGCTGGTTGGGAACCATACTTTGCGAATCACTGCTCTAAAATATGAGTATCTTATAAGACTTAGAGTGTTACCTTTCCTGGGGAATAAATCTCAAACAAATGGCTCTGTGATAGTGTGATTCCCAGCACCAGGACCAGGGGGTGGAGATTCAGTGGCAGGAGAGTGGGAAAGAGTAGCTTTCTGGAGAAAGAAAGGTCTCCCTCCATTACATCGCACAAACGACTTGCTGTTTCAACCCCCCTGCCTCCCCGCAAAGTACTTTGTTTTCTCAGTTTCCGTCAGGAGGCTGTGAGCTTGCCATTATTCAATAGGGAGCCGTACAATTCCCCATGTGTGTGTGCATGTTCAGTCGTGTCTGATTCTTTGTGACCCATGGACTGTAGCCCACCAGACTCCTCCGTCCATGGAAATTTCCAGGTAAGAATGTTGGAGTGGGCTGCCATTTCCTTCTCCAGGGGATCTCCCCAACTTGAACCTGGGTCTTGCGTCTCCTCCACTGGAAGGCGGGTGAGCATTCTTTTGGCTTGGCCATGCAGTACAAGTAAAATGCTTCTTGGACTTACTTCCTGTTTTAAAATCTTCTCTCTTATTAGGAAACTGAAGCACCTATGTTGACCTGATGTTCCCAACCTTGCTGAAAGCAGTATAGCCATGTGGTGTGGGGATGATTTCAAGGTAAACACTCCTGTTTCTATTAAGGAGACTGTGAGCAGGCTGGTTATGGGAGGTGGACAGGATGATGCAGGTGGGGAGCAGTTCTGGGCTGAGATTTACACAGGGTTCACATAAGGGGAACTCGAGGTTTAAACGTCCCAGGGAGTGGCTGGCAGGACAAGTGGAATCAGCCTTCCTCGAACAACTTTGACCTCAATCTTTGGACAAGAGGAAAGGGCTTCAGCAGGCTCATAGAACTTGGTGTTTGCTGGGCATAGAACTGGTCCTATAAGGGATGCCACAGAAGAAAGACACTGGACCCGACGGTCCAGTTAGAAAGCAGGAGAGCCCAGCTATAAGGTTGGAGGCCATTGAAACAGCAGCAAAGAACAAATTAATCCAGAGACCATCTGGGGACTGCTTATGTGCATTTCTGTCCGAAGGCTAGGGCAGGCTGCATCAAATTGTTTTTCTCAGATTGGAGAAGTTGGCAATGGGTATTCTCATGAGTTATTCATAATAGAAAGCTTCCTTTCATATACATTTTGAAAGTGAAAACTCTTCTGAAATTTTTAAGGTTTAATTTCCTGGTTAAGTAGAAATAAGCCCAATCAAGTATAACCTTTAAATCCTTATTATTGAAGGACTATTTTCAGTATCACTTGATGCAGGAATTTTTAGTATCAGCCCTCATTTCAACTCAGGAGACTTTTTTAACATGGGCATTAAAATTATTTTATTATTTATTTAATTAAATTCTTGTTATTTCTATTGTCTTCTCTCATCATTCAAGTATTATCCTATTTAATTTCCTACTGATCAAAAGTTATTAACAGAGTAAATGAATTCATAGGAAGTATTGTTTGATGTCTAAAATGTTTCTTGAATTATCTGCAGTACCCACTTATTAATCACTCAGTATATGCCAGGCATTGAACTAGGGTCTGGGAATGCAAAGATGTCAGACCCTGCCCCTGCCAGGAAGCTATCTTTGATTTTTCTGGTGATGTTGGGAAAGTCATTTGTCCATATGACTGTGATTGTTCCATCTGTAAGAGTTTTAATGTTGATGCTTCCATTTCCACTGGAATTTTGTGAGCCCATGATTATATGAAAAATAGCTTTGGGCTGCCTAGAAGAAGAAATTATTTGAATATAGTGTGTTCTTCTCAGGAAATGGGCCACTCTTGCCAAGGTCCCACGGAAGGGCACCACTTCTGGTCTCTGAGAGGTATGTGGCAGACTAGTTCAGAGGTGGGCTTTGGGTGTCCCAAGCCCAGTAGCTTTTGGCTACATCATGTGTGGCCCCCAAATGACCATTGGGGGCATGTCTCTCTCACTTTCCCAAGGAAAGCTAAATCTGAAGAAGTTTGACAACTCTGTGAACAGAGAAGACAGGATTCTAAAACCATGTTCTTCACCCAATGGCCTTATTGACAAGTTGGTGATGAACTTTGAGAATTTTTTGGAAGTGGTTTCCGCTGAACATCCTGGGAAGGGTTGTGAAAATATCTTGAGAGGAGAAAAGAATGAGTACGTGACCTCCCCAAACAGGCCTTATTGTCCCACTGTTTCAACCGAGATTCCACCCAGAGGGTCCCAGTGTCTGTGTTCTGGGATGTTAGAGGAGACCTGCTCAGAAGCCAGAGAGCAGCTTCTCCCTCCTGCCCAAGGCTTTGGGCCAGACCATCTCTGTGAGGAAGGAGCATGAAACCTATACTTGAAAAACTGAGTTACAACCAGAGAATTTCTTGTGTCTGAAAAACTTGCAGAGCAAATCCAAAGAGAAGTTTAAGTGCTGCTGTGATTTGAATCCCCCTGCATCTCAGTGTGGCTGACACAGAGAGGTAGGTGTGGCTCCAAGAGCTTTCTTGGCATCTTCCCATCCTGCTTGTGTTAGAGAAAGCCTTGCACACCCCCAAACTTGGTTGGTACAGATGTGGAATTCGCTTGAGAAGAAAGATTGGTGATCAGTCAGAGAGCAGAGGAGGTTCAGGCAGTGCTAGGAGTCAAGGTGAGGAGGGTGGCCTGAGTGTGTACCAGGGGCTCCCCATCCCAGAACATAGGGGACCCCTCAAGGGCCTAATTCCTACACCTTGTCAGCCCTGGAAATCTCGGACTGTGCTGACTGCACCCTGGGGAGCCACCCTACTTCGTCCTTCAGGTAGCCAGGGGACTGCCTGCCCCAGAGGTACGCCCCTGTGAGGTCTGAGAGCACACCTCAAGGGGAGACCTGTAAGTGGCCTGTGTCAGAACTCCCAGGGTGCATTGCTCAGCTGAGGCTGCTGACACCCACTTTCTCCCCCAGATGCGAAGTCCCCATCTTTTCCCCTGCCTCACTCCTGGCTCTGGTTTGATCCCAGGCATTGCACTCATGGTCAGGATGACTGAGCTGAGCAAACCTGAGGAAGATCTTCAGGACCCAGGCGAGGCCCAGGGCCCGGAGGAGGCGCAGCTCTTGGGGGCTGAGGCAGGGGAGGCTGCATCCACCTCGGCCTCCTCCCCCCAAGTCTCCTGGTCTGCCCTTGCGGAGGCCTTGCCCCAGGAAGCTTTGAATGAGATGGTGGCTAACCTGATCAACTTCCTGCTCTTCAAGTATCGAGCCAAGGAGCTGACTTCCCAGGCAGAAATGCTGAAGAAGGTCCTCAGGGATAACCAGGAGCACTTCTCAGTGGTCTTCAGCCAAGCCTCAGAGTGCCTAAGGCTGGTCTGTGGTGTGGAGGTGAAGGAGGTGGACCTCAGGGAGCACATATACATCATGGTCCCCATCCTGGGCCTCACCTGCAATGCTGAGCAGTGGGCAGAGCATGCCCAAGGCTGGCCTCCTGGTGCTGGTCTTCAGCCTGATCATGCGTAATGGAGACTGCGCCCCTAAGGAGGAGTTCTGGGGAGCACTCAGCAAATGGGGATGTTTGTCAGGAGGGAGCACTGTGTCTTAGGGGAGCCAAGGGAGCTGCTGAACCAAGTGTGGGTGCAGGAGGGGTACCTGGAGTACCGGCAGTTGTCTGACAATGACCTGGCTCGCTTCAAGTTTCTGTGAGGTCCCCAGGCCTGTACGGAGACCAGCAAGTAGGAAGTCATGGAGTACCTGCTAAGAGTCCACCAGCTGTTTTCCAGGGCCTTCCCACCCCCATCTGCAGAGGCTGTGAGGGAGGAGGAAGAGGAGCCCTGACCCAGAGAAGCAGCCAAGCTGATCCTTCCCTCTGTGATTGAAGAGGGAGCAGTCAGCCTTCTCAGTAGTGATGGCCTGGGCCACTTGGGGGAACCCGGGTGTAGCATCTTTGTGTTCCTTTTCTCTGTGATGACATGTTAATTCATCTCTCTTTTCTTTTTAAGGAATTTTTCAAATGTGTTTTTTCAGCTTAAGCCTTAATAAACTTCAGTATCTAACTTGTGAATGACATTGATCACACATGTATTTGTACATAACCAGTTAAAGGACCAGAGTTTGGCTGTTTTGTAAAAGAGATTGGAAACTCTTGCATTTTATTTTGTGACCCTGAGCAAGATCACATGGAATTGGAATTACAAATATTTTGGATATGTGAACTTACTTAGCAGGATATTGTTGGTGGAAGAATTGGAAAATAAAAAACGATTGTAGTGAATTCTCGCTTCTTATAGGTTCTGACTGTCCTTTTCTACAGCTAATCCACCACATCTGTTTACTTGGATTTTGCCAGGTTATTATTTAAGAAAGTAGGAGAAAATTGATGAGATTAATAAGCCCCCTTCTCACTGGTTCATTTATTCCACACAATTTCATGGAGCCTCTGCTCTGTGGAAGGCTCTGTGTTAGCAGTGGGGACACTAGGAGAAGCAGGACACCCCCACACCTAGAGCTATGGTCTAGGAGCCACAGTCACAGGAGGAAGGTAGAGAGACATACCATAGTCCCACAGAACAGGCAATATGGGGCACAGCGTTGGGGATCCAGGAGGCGCACTCGAGTGTTGGTGCCTGAGCCAGGGCTGTTTGAGGCTTTGGGAAACTGGGCTCCTTCTGTGGGAGATGATGGTAATGAACCTGAGTGTTGTCAACAGCCAGACTGTAGATGGTGTCTTATGAGTGAGAGGAAAGTCTGGAATCAGGCATGCATGTTAGAAGTTCATCTTCTCTCCAATAAATCTCCTGTGTCTCAAAAACAAAGTGCACTTTGGTCAGAACAGGTAGACACCTGGTTTTTCTGCCTGAGTCTAAATACACTTGAAAGTTTCCAAATGGGAAATGAGTGAATTTGGTTTGGCACACAATCTACTCAGTCTCAGGGAGTATAGTTGAAGACATTTCAATTACCACCCTCAGTCTTCTGGTAAGATTTTAATTGGGTTCTTCTTTGAAACTGGCAATTGGACACTTCAACTGATGGGTCAGCTTTCCTAGGTGGTCAGACCCCCAAAGCCATAGTGAAGGAGGAAACAGAACAGGCTCTATCTTGAAAGTAGGACTCCATCTTGGGCCGGACTGTGGACTTTGAGCTATAGGCCCCGTATCTATGGAGACGACATACCAACTGGAAAACCAGGACCCTGGAAGGAAGAGCCCCAGGGCTCTCCATCCCCTAAAAGAATACCTTAATTATCTGTGTAACCGAATAGAATCATACATTCTATTATGCCTACTGGGGTATGACCAGAGGCTTATTGATAATTGTCCACTGTTAACTACCTAGGCTTAAGGCATATGATCATGGGTTAACTTTGTTTGGATCTTTCTTTTTCCTTTGTTCAGACTAGTTTCAGGGAAACTTATACACTTAGGGTATATAAGGTTTTCACAAAAACTGGTCGAGGTCCTTGGCTAAGAGGAGACTCTGTCTTGGGTCCACCGGTGTAATAAGCTGCACTCCACTATCTGCATTCTCCTTCTGAGGAAGTTTGTTTCTCGGAACGCGTGGCTACAACAATAAAAGCTGCACTGAACTTGAATTCAAACACCTCAGAATCCTCCTGGAGAAGGCGATGGCACCCCACTCCAGTACTCTTGCCTGGAAAATCCCATGGACGGAGGAGCCTGGTAGGCTGCAGTCCATGGGGTCGCAGAGAGTCAGATACTACTGAGCAGCTTCACTTTCACTTTACACTTTCATGCATTGGAGAAGGAAATGGCAACTCACTCCAGTGTTCTTGCCTGGAAAATCCCAGGGATGGGGGAGCCTGGTGGGCTGCTGTCTATGGGGTTGCACAGAGTCGGACACAACTGAAGCGACTTAGCAGCAGCAGCAGCAGCAGCAGCAGCAGCAGCAGAATGCTCCTTGAAGGTGAAGAGTGGTGCATTGTGCTTATCCTTGATGGATTTTGTAAAGAAAACTCCCACTGTCCTTTTTCTCCCACTGTCACTTGTCTGATACCTGCCTCTCATGAAGGTTATGGCTGTTGGGAAGCCTACGGGCACCTGTGCAGGTGCTCAGACATGTTCTATCCTGTGGAGGCAGCCGAGTCTCCCAGGCTACACTCCCTGGCATTAGGAGGTAGGGCCACATATTCACTCTGCTGAGACTGTGGCCGGGCATCGCTGCAGAGGGTAGAGCAGAAAGAGAACTGGAGGGAGTGGGGGGAGAGGGACCCCTCCCTGACATGCCCAAGAGCCTTGGAAACGAAATCAGATCTTGCATTGGAAAGTGCCAGTAGAAAAAAAAAAAAAAAACAAAGAAAGTGCCAGTAGAGAGTAGTGACTAGAAACAGTTGAAGATTCAAGGCATCTTTGGCTTCCTCAGAAACTCTTCAACCCGTGAAGGGAACTGTCTTCATCACAAGCTATACCTACCGGCTGCTGTCTGTTGAGCACCAGCACCGAGTACACTGCAGGTCAGGGGAGAGACTCCAGGTCCTTGTTCACATCTCTTCTCCATGTGCTTCCTGGAAGCTGCCTGCAGGGAACAGGGAATCCTTATGTAAACCTACAACAAGTTGGAAATAAATACATGATTAATTCACCGATTTTAATACAAAGAAAAAAAAAACGGTTCATCTAAATGACAATAGCATGTCGTTTAGGGAAAAAGTATCCCATGTGTCTTGATGCCTGTGGTGGGATGGAAAGGTATTTTGGATACAGGTGGTGCCACATCCATGAGCCTGAGCTCCCAAGAAGCAGGAAACGCTCCTGCCTGACAGATAGAAGATCTGTCCAGGTGCTGTCCATTCAGGGCCAAGGGCGAGGACCTGGGCTCTTCCCAGTGGCACAGTCAGAAGGTAGGTGTTTTAAGCAGAACTACTCTCTTCCTAGAGCCCTCCAGGACAGTTGTGATGTAGACAGGGTGGAAGAGGAAGGAACATTTTGGATTCTGGGCACTGCAGATGGTATCCTGGGTGTGGTACAGCCAGAGGGACTGAGGAGGGTGGAGAGCCCTGGGAGCAAGGGGCAGGGATGCAGCCTAGGAGTCTGGAGCTGAGCTTCAAGCCAGAATCACATGAGGACCACACAGTCTTCTCCCTCTGCCCTCCTTCTTGGGTCCATCCTTCTCTCCCTTTCCCTTTGTCACACGGCAGGACTGCAGGAGAAGAGGAGACATGTGGATGGGGAACTGGTGCCTGAACCTCTGCAGAGAGGAGCGCAAAGCACCAGGTGGGAACCATGGCTCATAGGTCAGTAGGACTGTTATGATATCTCCTGGGGGAACCATCTTCCTTTGGGAAGAGCATGTCCTGTCACCACCATTAATAGAGTGACCAGTAGCCACATGAGGCTGGGTATTATGAACTCAAATGTACTTAGTGTGTCCCAGGGCCTGGCCTTCTATCATAATATAATGCGAAGTCAAATGTAAATAGCTAGAAGTGGCTAACGGCTAGATAGCCCCGCTGAGGAACTGCAGAACCTACACGGGGGCCCAGAAGCACAACTTCCCCTGTGGGTCACTGGGAGTGGTGGTAGGTGGGGTCGCTGTTCCCTCTGGTTCCAAGGCCATGTGTCTTACTTAGTGGGGGAACTAATGATGACAGATGTGGAGTTTGTCCAGTCCCCGGAGGGTGAAACCCCAGCACCTCGGGCTCTCATATCCCAGTGTGCACCTCACATGTGCTTCGTAGAAGCCATTCTGCTGCTCCAGGAGACCAGCAGCTCTGGAAGCTGTGGTCTCAGGACAGTGAGGGCTTTGGTGTGAAGGTCCAGGCTTAGGTCAACTGAGAGACATCCTGTACCTTGCAGAGCTCAAGATGAGGACCCTGAGGAGGACACAAGGACCCCATGGATCCCACCCCTGCTGTCATCCCTAGGCATCCCTTATGGCGGCATGAGCACTTGGCAGCATGTCCCTAACTTTGGCATCCCTGTCTCTGACAGGTTGGGGACCTAATATAAGGAGTGGGCCTTCAAAGGAGAAGGGGAGGATCTTAGGTTCTGAAGAAGTCTGGGTTAGGACCCTGAGGAAGGACTGAGGGCATCCTGGACCCGATCACAGAGTGGACTCAGGAAGCACATAGGGTGGAATGAGCACATGCCGCATTTCCTGACATCCGGGTCTCAGAGAGACTGGGGACCTGCTATAGGCGGCGGGGCCTCAGGTGGGCAGAGAGGAGAATTCCAGGTCTTGGAGGCAACAAGTTGAGGTCCCTGAGGGGGGACTAAGGGACCCTTGGCCTCAAAGAAAGCTGTCTGTGTTGTCGGTCCTTGGCGACCCTGAGGTAGGATAAGAACCACAGGCATGGTCTGACTTCCTGACATCCGGGTCTCAGAGAGACTGGGAACCTTGTATAAGGGGTGGGGCCTCAGGTGGGGAGAGGAGAGAATCTGAAGTTCTACCCGGAGACAAGGTAAGGCCCTGAGGGAGGACTGAGGGGACCCCCAGGGAGGACTGCTGGAGCCCCACAGATCCCCGCCCCTGTCATCAGGCCTGGGAGACCCTGGGGTGAGAAGAGCACACTGCGCCTGTCCTGACTTTCTGACTTCCGGGTCTCAGCGAGACGGGGGACCTGGTGTGAGGAGCCAGGCCTCAAACTCGGGGAGGACAGAGCCCCAGTCCTACCGGGAGTCAGGTGAGGACCCTGAGGGAGGAGTGAGGGGAGCCGGACCCCAGAACAGAGGGGACCCTGGTAGTCCCCAGGCAGGACGACCTCGCGCTGCATTTCCTGACATCAGGTCTCAGAGAGACGGGGGACCTGGTGAGAGCGGCGGGGCCTCAAAATGGAGGACGGGCCTGTTCCAGGTCCTGCCTGGAATCTAGGCTCCAGGCGGGGAAGGACTGAGGCAGTTAGACCCCAACACAGAGAGGGATCCTTGCCTTTGATGGGGGTCTTAGAGGTCCCAGAGCGGGTTGAACAGGATGAGCAGTTTGTCGACCTCTGGCTTAGGGGCCTCGGGAGATGAGGTGTTCAGGCGGAGGGTGGAGGCTTCAGATCCACAGAGGGTGGACTCCATGGACAGAGCCGAACCCACTCTTGTGGTCAGTGCTGGGAGTCTAGGCTGGACGTGAGGTGAGGACGAAGCATCTCCCCAGCCTAAGTAGGACCCACGGGAGGCCCTGGGCAGCTGTGACCACATGTGGGGCCCCTTAGTGCTTTCTCTTCAGACTCGGATCTTGTTCTGAGTTACTCTGCAGGCCCGCAAAGGGCAGGGTCCAGGCCGTGGCAGCGGAAAGGTGGGCACTACAAGGGAGCGACAAGAGGACCACTTCCCCCACAGCTTGTGGGGGGGAAACTCAGAGTTCAGGTCTGTGGAGAATCTACCCCCGAGGGGCCCCCTCCATTTTTCTCACAGGGGCTCCAGGAACCAGGAGGCAAAGGCAGAGGTCTGAGGCCTGTGTCCAGAGGTCAGAGAACAGAGAAGGTCCAGGCAGTACCAGGAATCAAGGTGAGGAGGGTGCCCTGAATGAGCACGAGGGGTTCCCCACCCCAAAACAGAGGGAACCCCGCAAAGCCCGAATCCCCCCACTGTGTCAGCCCCAGAACCTCTGGCTGTGCTGGCTGCATGCAGGGGAGCCACTGCCCTCCTCCTGCGGGTAGCCATAAGTCAGACCACCCAGGAGGCGGGCCCCTGTGAGGCCGAGAGCACCTCTCAAGAGGAGACTTCTTAGTGGCCTTTGTCGACCACCCAGGGTGTACTTCTTAGCTGAGGCCCATGGTCCACAATGTCCCCTGCCTCCTATCTGTGGTTTGATCCCAGGCATCGTGCTCGTGGTCGAGATGAGTGAGCTGAGCAAGCCCAAGGAAGACCTTCAGGACCCAGGCGAGTCCCAGGGCCCAGAGGAGGCACAGCTCTTGGGGGCTGAGGGGGGGGAGGCTGCGCCCCCCTCGGCCTCCTCCCCCCCAGTTTCCTCGTCTGCCACTGAGGAGGCCTTGCCCCAGGAAGCTCTGAATAAAATGGTGGCTAACATGGTGAAGTTCCTGCTCCGCAAGTATCGAACCAAGGAGCCAACTTCCGATGCCGAATTGCTGAATGAAGTCCTCAGGGATAACCAGGAGCACTACCCGGTGGTTTTCCGCCAAGCGGTTGAGTGCGTTCTGCTGGTCTTTGGGGTGGATGTGAAGGAGGTAGACCGCAGGAAGCACATCTACATCATGGTTCCCACCCTGGGCCTCACCTGTGATGCAATGCAGAGAGGTGGGCAGGGCCTGCCCAAGGCCGGCCTCCTGGTGGTGGTCCTCAGCGTGATCCTCCAGAATAGGGATCGTGGCCCTGAGGAGGAGATCTGGGGAGCACTCAACAAGATGGGGGTGTATGTTGGGAGGGAGCACTCCATCTTTGGGGAGCCCAGGGAGCTACTGACCCAAGTGTGGGTGCGGGATGGATACCTGGAGTACCGGCAGGTGCCTGACAGCACCCCTGCTCGCTACGAGTTCCTGTGGGGTCCCCGGGCCTTTGCGGAGACCAGCAAGGAGAAATTCACGGAGTATCTGCTCAAGGTCAACCAAAGGGCTTTTAGGTCCTTCCCACTCCCTTCTGCAGAGGATGTGAGGGAGGAGGTAGGGGGACCCTGAGCCAGAGCAGCAGCCAGGCTGATCTGTCCCTCTGTGATTGAAGAGGGAGTAGTCAGCCTTCTCAGGAGTGATGGCCTGGACCACTTGGGGAACCAAGTGTAGCATTTTTAGGTTCCTGCTCTCTGCGATGACATGCAGATTGATCTCTGTTTTCTTTAGGAATTTTTCAAATATGTATTTCAGCTTAAGGCTTAATAAACTTCAGTATCTAACTTTGTGAATGACATTGATCACACATGTATTTGTGCTTACCCAGTTTAAGGACAAGAGTCTAGCTGTTTTTTAAAAGAGTTTGGGAACTCTCCCATTTATTTTGTGACCCTGACCATGGTAACATGAGAATGAATTATAACTGTTTTGGAAATGTGAACTTACTTAGCAGTAATGTACTTGGTGAAAGAATTAGAAAATAAAATGTGATTATAGCGAAGTCTTCTTCTTATACTTTTTATCTGTCATTTTATACTGTTAAGCTATCTCAGTTTATTTGATTTTTCCCGGTTATTATTTAAGAAAGTAGGAGAAAACTGATCTGACTAAATAAGGCCCTTCTCCCTGGTTCATTTATTCCACAGAACTTCACGGAGCCTGATTTCTGTGACAGGCCATGCTAACAGTGGGAAAAGCAGGGCACCCCCACACCTGGAGTGATGATCTCAGAGCTGCAGTCACATGAGGAAGGTGGAGAGACATCCCCTAGTCCCACAGAACAAGGCAACACGTGGAGGGACAGTGGGGTTCTAGGAGGAGCCCTCGAGTGCTGGTTCCTGAGCCAGGGCGGTTTGGGGCTTTGGGAAGCTGGGTTCCTTCTGTGGGAGGGGATCGTGATGAGACTGGGTGGTGGCAGCAACCAGACCCCTCGATGATGTCTTATGGGTGAGAAGAAAATTTGAAATAGGACATATACATTAGAAGTTCCTTGTCATTTGCAGATGAATCTCCTGGTTGCAAAAGATAAAGTGCACTTTGATCAGGATCAAGTAGACGCCTGGTTTTTCTGCCTGAGTGTAAATACACTCGAAAGGTTCCAAATGAGACATGAGTGAATTTGGGTTGGCACACAGTCTTCTCAGTCTCAGGGTTTATAGCTGAAGACATTTAGTTACAATGTTGCAGAAACCAGTACTCGGGAAACCAAGCATGACACTTGGAGAGTTGGAGAAAGGTTTATTACACCAGCGGGCCCAGAGGAGTTAACACTCCAAGCTCTGAGCCTCAAACAAAGGGATTTCAGAGTTTTTATAGATAGGCTGTAGTGGGCAACACTAGCTGTTAATAGGCTGGTTTAAACTAAGGGGTTTCTCATGGGTCAGAAGAGTGGTCAAGATGGGGAGGGGGATTCCTGACCTGGACAGGCATGATTAAGCAGGTTTGCAGGGGCTGGGTGATTGCAAAGAGCAGGACAAGGGTGAGTGAGATAAACTCCACTTCCTAGCATTGCAAGTCTTCACTTTCTGATGCTATGGGACCTATGTGATCTAGACTTTGCAAGGGGCAAGCTGAGTTACAGAGGCAGAAGGAGAAGGAGGTGCTGTAAAAATTTAACTTTTCCTCTTCATTCCCCCTTCTTGATGCTTCTATCCCTCGTTGTAGAAAGCATCATCTCATGTTTTTGGTAGGGCATTCAGAGCTCCCCATCGTTTAGGGGGCTGTATTGAACTATTACCGTTTGTAACTTTGTGGATTCAATCCAAGAGGTTATGAACTGGGTAATAGCATTGAGAATACAAGGGCCAAACAAGACTGCTGCAAAAAAGCATGAAGTGAGGACCTGTTAAAGGGAGAAGCCATGATGGTCAACTCCAGATATTGCTCCAATTACCCCAGGAATTAGCTAGTTTTTCTCTCCTTTTATGATTTGTTCCCTTAGCTGTTTGGCCATGTTCCTGACTATTTCTGACTGGTTTATATAAAAGTAGCATTCTTCATTCAAGAAGAGGCAGAGTCCTTCCTTTTCAGCTGTCAGTAGGTCTAGACCTCTCCTATTTTGCAAAACCACCCCAGCCAGGGCATCTAGTTGGTCAGGTAAGGCCACTAAAGATTTGGCCACTCTCTCAATGTCGTCTGTGAAGTCTTTGGATAGTGTATGGTAAATGATGTTTGGTGAAGCAATTCCTCCTATCCCCATACCTATCCCAGCCATGATTCCCAGACCTGCTATTAGGGGTATAAACTGGATGGCTCTTTTTGACCTTGTATGTGCTGCCAGAGGTACGGTGAGAGTCTGGTTGTTAGGGCCAATATTCATCTGGGGAGTGAGGAAAGCTAAGGTGCAGATACCCATCTAATTGACAGGTAGACACAAGTAAGCATCTGTCCCACAAAGAAAGAAAAGGCCTTGATGGGGGCAGCACCATCTGTTACAGCAAGGGACACCAAAAGGCTGCAAAGCAGCCTGCACATAACAGGTAACTGAAGATGAGCAAAAGGGTTTCTCCCCATCTTTGGGTTGTCATGGCTCTAGCAACTGAGCCTATCGTGAAGGGAGGTCAGTTATATTGTGGAGCAGTTTAGATTGTAGGGAGAAACAATTGTAAGAGACTTCTAATAAGCATGAGGCTTCCCATTAGAGTGAGATGACAGACAGTTAACTGCAGCTTCTGACCCAAACCCCAGTCCTGGGGTGTGACTGAAACTAGTCCTGTTGTGAAGAGCACAAAAATAATAGGAATCAGGGATAGAGTCCAGGCTTGACAATGAAAATCCATTGATATTTTGATAGCCAGATCCTCAAGCTTCTGTCGTGTGCTGACCAGCCAGCTGCTGAAGTGTGGCTGGAGCAAGGCTCAGCATTCTTCGTGGGTGAGGGTCATTGTTTTTGGAAACAGACCTTGAGGATGTTTTTGGGGTCCTGAACTGCTTTCAAGGTGTCCTCATTATAGGAAGCTGCTGCCTTCTTGACTCTGGTGTGGTGGATCCAAGGGATGAAACCTATAACTTTAACAGTAGTAGGGGTTGGCAGGATGATCATGTGAGGGCCTGTCCAAACTGGCTAAAGTGGTTCCTTTTTCCAGTCTTTAACCCATCCCTCATCTCCTGGCTGATAGGGATGAACCCAATTGCCCAGTGGAATGGGTGTCCTTTCTCAGATTTCTTGGGCGATATGACAGAAGAATTTCCCATGGCCTATACCTCCAGGTCAGCTAGTTGGTGGTCTCCCTTGAGCTTTTTCATCACTGGGGGTGATCTCCTGTATAAGATTTCAAAGGGAGAATAGCCTGGGTCCTCGGGGTGCATTTACAGAGGGCGACGTGAGTCCACAGACTAAGGCAGCTTGTTCTAGCGTTGTCTGGGCGTTGGCCGGGGGATAGTCTTGTCGTAGTTCTACTTGGAGAAACAAACTTAACAAGAAAGTTAAAGATATATGGCCCAAAGATTAATAGAAGTAGAAAAGCTGCCGAGGCACAACTAGGAGAACCAGGTCCAGACATTGGTCCGTGACATTAGTGTTTCTCTAGGTGTGAGAAGATGCAAGAATTTGGACTCATAAAAATCTTTACCTGAAAACATCTGGCTATCTGAAGGCCTGTTTCTGTGGGTTTTTCCCAGAGCTCAGAGTGCCTTATTTTTTGTCTCCACCCTTAACTCTTTTCAAGGGGGTGTTGAAGATCAGCATCTTGTAGTAGTCATGATTTAATCTTTGTAGAGGCAGCTGGCAAGGGCCAACTTCCAGTTGATAGTCATTTTTATTTGATGGGTTAAAGCCTTACCTGTGTACAGTGTTAATGCCTTCACAATGAGTTCTTCAAAAAAAAAAAAAAAAAAGAAAAGAAAAGAAAAAAGTCATGTTTCATTAAATATTAAGTTCCGGTTTTCTTAATTAAGGTCTGTGCTACTAAAACTCACTTCTGAGATTGTTCCTTCTTATGTTATATTGCTAAAAGGTTTAATTAAATTATTAAAAAAAGACACTCTTAAGATTGTCATAGTCATATTTGACTTCATAGTCATATTTGACCATGTTTGGGGGGCATTTCATGGTCATTGTGTCCTGTGGTGCTGGGAAGGCTCATTCCCAGGTCTAACAAAGATTCCATTGACAGGCCACTCAATGTGTTGTCACTAGACCAGGACTTGTAAGTAGCAAAAGTCTCTGGACCATACCTGTCTTACTAGCCGCTTGGTCCAGGAAAATGTTCCCTCTTGTTGTTTCTTCCCATATCTAAGTTTACATTATTACAATTATTGATCTCATATGGAACTGCATATCAGCATTTTATCACAGGCTCTGTGACACATTTGGTAACATAAGAAATAATCTTCTAAAACAAGCTACATAGAAAATACTATAGCTAGCAGTTATTAGTAAGGTCACAAGCAAGAATTTAAGTCAAGAACTTTCATTGGGTATAGCCCGGTATAGCCCAGGTCACCTGTCTCAGTTAAATGATTATAGTCAAGTGTTAATCTCCTGGTTGTACATCATGGAGCATCTGACCTTTATCCAAAGACTGGTTGCTGAGGTAAGATTTAGAAACAATCTTAAGAGTGTCTTTTTAAATAATTTAATTAAACCTTTTAGCAATATAACATAACAAGGAACTCTCAGAAGTGTGTCTTAGTAGCACAGACCTTAATTAACAAAACTAGAACTTAATATTTAATGAAACATGATTTTTTTCTTTTCTTTCTTCTTTTTTTTTTTTTTTGGAGAACTCATTGTGAGGGCATTAACACTGTATGCAGGTAAGGCTTTAACCCATCAAATAAAAATGAGGTCTATCAGGGAGCCGGGAAAAGCTAAGGGGCCATCTTGGATTTCCCATAGCCCTGGATCTTTGATGTTTAGGTGCTGTTTATTTATTTTTAATTTCCTGATGTAAAAGCAGACTGTCACCATGTTTTAAGGACATCAAGATAGTAAAAGTTTAACCTTGAAGGGTTATTTTTGTTGAAGCAGAATGAGCTTTGTCTACATGTACCATAATCTTAAATAATGTTTATTTATGTTACCAAAGTAACAAAAACATTTTAAAAACCAATGAAAATCACTTAAAGGCAAAGAAATTTATAGTCTGTTATTGAGAGCTCCATTTTAAGAAAACCTTGTTCTCTAAACAGAGAGAAGACCAAATTCCAATCTGCTACCAGCTTCCTGTTAATAACAAAATGTGTTTATCTGTTTAATCTCAGAAAGTCTTCTCCATAAATCTTGAACTAGCTATATTCTTCTAAAGGCATGAGAGTAAAATCATAGAAGACATGTTTAAAATCTGATTCTATTGCAATTGACAAAGAAACCTGGTCATAACACTTTAATATGATAACTAGAATTATAATTGACCACATTTTATCAGGGCATATCAGAGCTCTATGAATTTCACATAATTTTAGGATATCTATATTAGTAATATCAGCCATACAGTATAACCTGTAAAGAAGTTTTTCACCCCTTTAACAGTACTTCCCATGTAATTTAACATGTCCAGTGAACCCAGGTAGCTTAATAACTCTTTGGGGTGTCTCAGGGGCCCTCTGAAGCATCCCTAAGTTAGCTAGAAGTCAAGTTATTTAAGAAGTTTTGCCGATAAATATCAAAAGGTTTATCATAGTCAGGCAGGATCATGTAAGCTACTGTGAAATAATAATTATTTACTTAGCCAAAGTTAACAAAAGATTTCAAAGGTCAATATAGAACAGATCAATTAAGAGGGAAAGGAACTTAAATCTATTATTAAAAGCAGTTCAACATCTGAAGAAAGTATGTCTTCTTAACAGAGAGAAAGGCCAAATTTAAGTCTTTGCACCAGCTTACTTTATGCTCATTTAGGTAAACCTTAATTAAATTTATTTCAAACTCAGTCCTAACCATGCACAAAACATTTTTACAGGGTCCACCTTCCACAAACCTATTAATCACTTTCTGTAATAGCCACCTGCAAGTCAGACCTACTTTCTTTTCCCTTTATAAAATGTAATTTTATTTTTTGTATCTTCTTTATTTAAAACACACATCCTACTTTCTTATTAGATTAGCAAACAAGCATTGATACTAGATATTTAATATAGAATATTTCCCAGTTCACATGAATCTGAATTGTTTTTAGGGTTTTTTTTTTTTTTTGTATTTAGAATTCTTTGGTTTTTAGACACTTATTTTTCTTTAGGGCAATTAAATTAGAACTACAACTTCAACAATATTATCAGAAAAATGACATACACTGAGACATACGTAAATCCAGACAGACAGACTGAGAGAGATCTTATAGTTTTCTGTTTGAGATTTAAAGTATCTCTTTGGCACCCCCCCTTTTTTTTCGTTCCGTTTGAAGTTCTAATTTGCCCAAGGCTGAGGTCTCAGGCAAAGCTGACTCTATATTTCAAGGACATGGAAAGGGTTAACTTCAAGCTTTTCCCTGGGCAGGTCTTTTAACAAGCTAGTTGTTTTTAATTGCACACGCAAAAAGAATTGGTTTTGTAGTTTCCAAAAGTTTCTTTCAATTTTCTTTTCAATCAGCAATCACACACTCACAATCATTCAGAGGCTACCACAATGCCTCCCTTCCTCCCAAGTCCCCAGGTCTCCCTATCTGATGCTCTGTTCCTGGGAGCCCAAGGAGGTGATCGGTCTCCTCTTCTACCCGTTGGGGTAGGTTCCTGCTTGGGGACCGGCCCCAGGGCCTTATCTTATCCTGTGATCATTCCTGGTGAGTTGGTCTGTCCCTCCAATGAGTTCAGTTGGGGCTCGGCAGTCCGAAGTGTCGGAACACCTGTCCCAAAGAGAACCCGGAATACCATCAGGTGCCATGCCTCCTCGATTATCCTGGGGTTCCTTTGCTCCAGCACAGCCAAGCCAACAGTCTGGCGGCTCAAGGGGCCAGTGTGGTTGGAATCTCACTGGAGCCTCCAGAAATGTTACAGAAACCAGTCACCAGGCTCAGCCAGTTGGAGAACTTAGGTTTATTATGCCAGCGGATGCAGAGGAGTTAACACTCCAAACTCTGAGCCCTAAACAAAGGGATTACAGAGTTTTTATAGACAGACTGTAGTGGGCAACACTAGCTGTTAATAGGCTGGTTTAAACTAAGGGGTTTTGCATGCCCGGGAACAGTGATGGGGATGCCTGACCTGGACAGGCATGATTAAGCAGGTTTGCAGGGGCTGGGCGATCACAAAGAGCAAGACAAGGGTGAGTGAAATAAACTCCACTTCCCAGTGTTGCATGTCCCCACTTTCTGAGACTACATGACCTAAGTGATCTAGACTTTTCAAGGGCCAAGCTGAGTTACAGAGGCCGGAGAAGGAGGTCATGTAAAATTTTAACTTTTCCTCTTCAACCACTCTCAGTCTTCTTGTAGGATTTTAATGGGGAACCTTTTTGAAACTGGCAGATGGACTCTTAAACTGATAGAGTGGCTCTCCTAGGTGGTGAGACCCCAAGGCCATAAAAATTGCTCTCAAGCTGAATTCACACAGCTCAGAATCTGCCTTGAAGGTGAAGGGTGGTGCATTGTGCATATCTTAGCCAGATTTTATGAAGAAAACTCCCATTGTCCTTGTCCTCCCACTGTCTCTTGTCTGATACCTGCCCCTCATGAAGGCCACGGCCATCAGGGAGCCCAAGGGCACCTGTGCAGGTGTTCAGGCAAGTTCCATCATGTTGCTGGCCAAAATCTTGGCCTTCTCTGCCCACCGAAGGTAAACAAAAAATACAAAGATAGAGTGGGCAGGCAGTAGAAAGGTGGCTTTAATTCTCAGCCAGCAGAGAGGGGCACAAAGTAGGCTCATGCCTCAAAAACAGCCCCCTGTCTATGAGGAATCTAGGGGCTGATATAACCTGAGGCCTCCCAGTCAGGAGTCAGTGATGAGAAACAAGGGTGTTAGGATCTTGATTCCTTTCTCTTGCATTGCTTCAAAGTCAGTCATAGACTGGCTCAGTAACCCATCCATTGAGCCTGGCAGTTCAGTGACTCAGTGGCCTTCTTTCTGAAGGGTGTTGTAAGGGTAATCACCAGATACAGGATGTATTTAGCATAGAATCGAAGAAAAATAGGTGTAAAGTGTAGCCCTTTAGAGTTAGGGGGCAGAAAAGCAAACACTTACAGACATGCAGAGTTCAGAGCAGTTAAAGTAAAAAGAAACGAGGAATGTTCAGGCCTGCTCACTCTTCTCTTTATCTTCTTTGTTCTCAGGAAAGGGATAGATAAAAATTCATTTTTTTTCCCCCAACATATGGTCCAGAGAAATTTCATTGTCTAAACATACAACATTTACAACAAATGACTTTAACGTGGCCCAGCTATTCCACACCTAGGTCTACATCAGAAGAAAATGAACACTAATTTGAAAAGATACATGTACACCAAAGTTTATTATATCCTTCCTTACAATAGAAGAGATATGGAAGCAACCAGTGAGCAAGATGCACATGGTTCCTGTCTTCATAGCTCTTGCATGGAGTATGGGATAAGCAAGCATTTGAACACAATAGTAATCCTCAGAAATACTGGTAGCTACGTGTTTGTTGAGGTGGAAACATTCTCCCAGCATATGATATAGAAAAGGAAGGTTACAATATAGCATAAAGATTGACTCAATTTGTATAAATTAAAAAAAATACTGATGTACATAGGCTCATCTAAATATATGTGTATTATATGTATATATTTCACAGTATATAACACATATAATATATATGTTATAGAAGTTTAGGTAGAACAACAAAGGCAGAATATGAACAGTATATATGTCTATTGACACACTTATGGGTGTCCTCTAATTTCATTTTGGTACTCAGTTTTACAATTTCCATACTGGTTTGCCTCGCGTGTATATTTACAATTAGAAAATATTAATAATGCTCTTTCAAAGCAGGGTAACCCAGACATTAACTTAACATATGCCCAGTGTCGCTTCAAGTTCCTCCCTCTTCCTCCAAAGCCATGTTTCTTCACAATTTCCCCATCATACCTTAGATTCCAGTCATATGCAAGGCATGTATAGCCAGGTCTCTTGGGTCTCGGTGCCTTGGCACGTTCTCCCTCACTGTCTGGGAAACATTTTCACACCTTTCCACTTGATCTATCTACTTTAGCTGGCTCAGGATTCATCTCGGGTGTCTTTACTGAAAAGTACCCCTCTCCCACCTCCTTGCCATCAGACTATGACAAATGCCTCTCCCTTTTACCACCACAGCCCAGTGTGGTTTGTGTCCGGTGAATCAATTCATCATGTAAATGGAAAGATAAGTTTACCATTACATTCCTCCTTTTCCTGCCCCGTTTTCTCTCATCAGCAGCTCATCACTTTCTAGTCTCATCCTCACTCACCAGGTCCCACTTGCACCAGCCTCCTTGTTTTCTTGGAAGGACATAAATAATGCCTTTTGAGGGCTTTTGACTTGGCATTTTCCTCTCCCCAGTCGTTTTTGCCCAAGATCGTCACAAAGTCACTCCCTCTTTTCTTTAATTTCTTTGCTTAAATATCCTGCATTCATAAGGCCTTCCATTATTATCCTCTGGGAACGAAAGACTCGCCGTTTCTCATAACTCATAAGGTTCTCGCTATACTCTATAATTGACTATTTGTGGTTAGGATGAACCTTCCATCCTCACTGACCGGAATGTAAGCCCCATGAAACGAGGGTCCTGGGTATTGGCTCCTGATGTGCGCCTTGCACTCACAACGATGAATGAAATAACACAGGGAGTGAATTAATATCTGTGAAGTGGGAAATAATCATAACACCAAAGAATTTATGTCCATTTATGCAATTAAATAAAACAAATCCAGACTAATGTATGAAGGAGCTTGATTTGAAATGACTATGGGAATAGGGTCGTCTCACACACTACCTAAAATACGCTGAGCATTCTTCAAGCTAGGCTTCAACAATACATGAACCAAGAATTTCCGGATGTTCAAGCTTGACTAAGAAAAGGCAGAGGAACAAGAGATCAAATGGACAGCATCTGTTGGATCATAGAAAAAGCAAGACAATTCCAGAAAAGCATCTGCTTCACTGACTAGTCTCAAGCATTGTCTTGTGTGGATCAGAACAAATTGTGGGAAATCCTTCAAGAGATGGGAATACCAGGCCCTCTTACCTGCCTCCTGAGAACTCTAAATGTAAGGAAAGCAGCATGAGTTAGAACCGGACATGAAATATCAGACTGGTTCCAAATTGGGAAAGGGGCATGTTAAGGCTGTATGTTGTCATCCTGCTTATTTAACTTATATGCAGAGTACATCATGAGAAATGCAAGACTGGATGAAGCACAAGCTGGAAGATTGCCGGGAGAAGTATCAATCACCTCAGATAGGCAGGCAACAACACCCTGAAGGCAGACAGCAAAGAGGAACAAAAGAGCGCTACAGCATGTAGTCCCCAGGCTATTCACTGGACCCTCCAGCTCACCAACTGTCCCAAGTCGGCATGAGCTCCAGGGCCTCTGGAAGAAGGCCTGACTCTGCCTCTTGCCTCAGTCTCCCCCTGAGTGCCACCACACCACCCTTGACTTAATTGCTTCCCCAAAGGTCCCTCACTGACAGTAACCTGCGGGCATTGCCCAGTGCAATGCTGTCCGATAGCTAAGCAGGACAGCTAACAGTCACTCATTTATAATTGTTTGCTTGTGGATGGGCCCCTCTGAGGCACCAAGCAATGCTTGAGCAACACCTGTTGCCTAGGAACAGGGTGGGTTGAAATGGAGCACACCAAAGGCTCACTCTTCAGGGCTGTGCTCATCCTGCTCTGTTACACTGTAAATAGAAAAAGAATCACTGTGAAGTTAAGGTTTCTCAAAGTAGTTTTCAACGTGGGCTGGCCTGCACATACTTGTTGGTTTTGAACTATGTATACTATATGCGGAACATGTGATCAATTGGCAGCTGTTGGAGGGGCATAGAGATTAGCGCTGGTGACAGGAATGCCTGGGAAGAGAACGGAAAGAATGATGGGCAAAAGTTAAATAAGAATGTGAAATAAAAATCTGAGGTTGGAAAGGAGTCAGTCAAAAAGATGCCAGCACACTGGACCCAAAGTGTTCTTATGTAACAGAGCAACGTGGTCAGAGCCCTGCCCAGGTAGCCATTGCTGTGCCTTATTACTCCACCTCCTGTTACTAGGCAACAGGACTTGCTCAGCCATTGGTCAGTGCCTCACTGGCCCCACCCAGAAGCAACCAACTATCAGTGAGCTACCTACAGGTACTTGCCCTGCCCAGCTATTGGTCAGCAATGCAATGGGCCCTACCTACTGAGAACGGTCAAGGAGGGGTGACTGGGGAATTGATTCGGTCAAGAGTCAGCGATGCCGTGGTGAACTGATTCTTCACATTGAGCACCTACCTTTTGTACAAAGCAAAATTCAGGAATTTTTTTCTGCTAGATGGGGCAAGTTGAGTTTCCCTACTCAATATGAGAGTTGAAGTGTCCCCAAAAAATTTAGTGGAGGAGACATTTAAAACTGTCTTTGCTCTGATGTGTACTCTTATGGAGACTGTTTATTGACCTTTGGGCAACAGACTGAGGATTCACCAAGTCTGGGGGTCGCTGAAGCTCACCACAGTAGATAAAACATCCAACCTGCTCTTCATTACCTTGGTCCACTTTAAGTGCTTTCTCTTAAGTTCCTTAATCCCCTCAGGAATCCCCAAGAGGCAGAAGGTGATCTAGAGATGAAATGCTTAGAGGACTCTGAAGGGATGAAGTGGGACAGAAAAGGTTAGGCAGATGTTCCTAGAGGGATGAAAGAGGCAAGAGGGATGAAGTGGCACATATAAGTCAAAGGATAAAGGGAATGCAAAGGAAGTTTGAAGGTCATGAGGAGAAGCACCAGGCCCCTGAATCACCACTCCCCAGAATCAGGCACACAGACATGTCAGCAGTGGGAAAGTTATATTACGCTCTCCCTCAGCATCCACTAGCCCATGTTGATGGTCACAGTGGTGCATTGTGATGTCTAAGCTCCACAAGCTACTATTGGCTGGGGCAGTGCCTAACAGACCAATCAGATTGAAGGGTGTGGCTCTTCATTGTCCTCAAAGGG